GCTCTTTTCCGCGTTCCACAATATTAAATTGTTTTAAACTGTGAATTTCGGGAAATAAGTGCAATATTTCCGAAAATATTAAGATTTGTGGTAAGTAAGTATACTGCAGTTGCTAAATATAAACAGCTTTTATTTTATTTTTTCCTTGATTTGTTTTTCCATCGATCTTGTTTTCCGTACTGAGTACCAATGCTACCGTCGCCAGGCAGGCAGCTCCCACACCTGGACCCGACTTATCGACATATCAATTCATGAACCGGGAACCTACGGCTTTACTTCCCTTCCGAAGGATGGCGAGATCAGTGATTTTATGTCTCAGATAGTCCTGAAATTCTGTTGCAAAAAGAAAACAAAACATAAAAATAATCGCCATATTATAATTGAATCAATAAACATATTTTTATTTCGACTGCGTGAATTGTCATACTTCATAAAATAAATATGATGGAATCAACAATAAATCTCTTTTAAAAACAAACATGTGTTGTTGACCCAGCTGTCAAATTTGACAGCTTACGTCATAACCATAAAAGCTCTTGTAAATCCGAAAAAAAAAATTTTGATTTAACAATCCATGGGTTTTACGGAACAACAATACTGGATTGTTGAAACAATAATAATTTCTTTTTGCAGCCAAAACAAAATGAAATTCTTATTGATTTTACGTCAAATATTATTACGTTTAAAAAAAAATTTTCTGCGTGTATAATGTTGATTTTTCTAACGGTGCAGTTGCTAGTTCGTCGTAATCGCCCATTTCCGTTCTATCGGTCAGAAAAGAACAATAATATCAATGATTTCACCGAATTTTAGCGAATCCCTTTTTTCTACGTTTATTCGTAGGACGAAGAAAATCTAAACTCGTTGGAAGAATTTAGAATCAAGAAGCAGTATTAGATTTTAAACAATATCTCAACAATTTGTGATTCTTTATGAAATCCAAAGGTACGTATTTTTTTTTTTTTTTGTATAGTAATTTATTTGATAAGGCTCAACCGAATTAACTTAACAGAGCCGAGGATTCATGGTCACTATACAATACATCTTAAAGCTATAGTCAAAAGGTACAACACAATAAACACTTTATCTTCCGCTATCCAAAAAGCCTCCTCCATCAGAACTGGAGCCGCTTCCAGTAGTTTCATTGTATGGCAAATTGTTGTACGCCAACGAGGGTCAGAGCGCGTCCATTGCAACAATGGACGCAAAACGTGGTCAGCACTCACACACTCATCACGAAACGGTTGCTTTCCAAAGTCGACGACGCATCGACCGAAAGAACTGCTGATGAAGAACAATGAGGAGGACCACACAATGGTTGCTGCCGAGTAAACAGACGATCGCGTAGCACACATCGAGAGTGGCCTGCTTTTGTCGACAGCCGAGTGAACACTGACAAAGGTACGTATGGAAAGGTGAATAAATTTAGAAGTCTTTTTTGACAGAAATTTTTCATTTTTAAAACACAGGTTGTGCTTAGTAGGACGGAAATTAGATCAAAAACACTATTTAATTTTTTTTTAGACAAACGTACACCCTATTGTTTTGCTGCCATTCAACAGACATTTATCAAACATTAACGATGATGTTGTGTAGTGCTTTTTTGAAAAATGGAAGCAAATTTGAGTATAGTCACTATTTTCATAGTCTGGTGGAGACAATGACGAGAGCCAATGTGATCTGTTATTTGCGGGAGCCCACTTCCGCGATCTCCCGTTTCGTTTTTGTGGATTTTAAAGTGGTGCCCATACACGCAAAACAAATGGCATGAACATCGAATGAAAGAGTCGGTTCCTTACATCCACAGTATGTTTTCTTGCAACAAATAGAATGGCAGCTCTTACAATACAAGCAAGCTTTTCTAGAATTGATATTTTGGTACAAAACCATCACGAGATGATTTTCTAGTCGCAGTGAAACATAATTCACATTCACATTAACCAAGTGCACAAATTGTTTGTGGTACAAGTACGAGTGATGTAGGCGTTTATTACAATGAACACAGAATACACGAACATTTTTTGGTATTTTATTTATCTGCTTTTTGCTATTATGTACATCATTATTTGATACATCATCATTAATTACATTGATGAATATTACAGTCTTTCTGCTGTGTAAGATCCGTTTGATAAACGTTATTGGCATTTTATAAAAGGTACAAACATTTCAAGTGAACGACATGGAATTGAACCCATGACCATCTGCTCACTGACTAGGTACTGCGCACTGAATTACCAAACCAACCCGTAATGGAATAGTACTCCTTTCCTTTATTTACCGTCATTCTCCGTTCAGCTACAGCCATCACGGCCATCTTGAAAAACGTCTTTATGATGCACATTTCCAAATCTTATCTGATAAGGTACGGGATTGTAATGATAAAATGCTTTGAATTCTCATTAATTTTTTTATTATTTTTTTCGATGATTGTACAAAGAGAGACAACGTTTTGATGGCCTAAACTGCCACTATCGCAAGTCGGTCTTATTTGCGTTTTTGTCAAAACTGAGTTCATTAGTGGAAATGGTAACTAATGACCTATATTTTAATAATACTGGATGAGCACAGCAACTTTGTTCTGAGAAAGTTTGGAAAACAGCCAAACTGGTTGTCCTATCACATAAAAAGTAATGGTACAAAGCAAACTTAAAACGCGTTTTTCTCGGTTTGCTTATTTGTGCTATGGGACAAACTTGCCATGAGCGGCAGTATATATCTCGCACAACGAGAGTTGCCAGCAGCAAGTAAAAGGAATCACACGAACACATTCATATTTATTCACTACGCAGGGATAATCGCCATAGAAATGCGGACGCTGCTTAAATTGACGAGACTTCATAAATTCCCCTATCTTATTTGTTCTTATAAGTTTTCCGTAAAACAATCAAAATGGTAAAGAATTCATTTGATCAGTTTTCTGGGCTGCATCCAGGGAAAAACCCCGTTTATAAATTAACAATAATTTCACCACACACACTTAGATTATTTTACTGGAGTCAGTAAATTTAATTGGGTTTTTAAATTGCAGAAAAAATGTTGAAACTTCAAGTGAAAAATTTGGACTGATTAAAAGCTGAATAAGCCATTTTTATAACTCAAGAAGCATAATTTTGCCTGAATTCAGCATTCAATGTTTTATTTTATTTTATTTGTCGTCAAACAGTGTAAACCGTTTTACAATAGTTGCCTTAAGTGCTATTTTTATAGTTTGTTGGGTTGCTAATAAATCAACAAAATGTACTTATTTTATTTAGTATTATCAAATGGTGTCAACAGAACCCAGCCTGTAAAAGTTCAGGGTTAATATTTAAATGTGTGATTTTTTTACAGATTGTTAAAATAAAATAAAAAAAAAACAGTTCCGAAATTCAAAAATGTCAGGCTTACTAAAAGCAGAATTAATGTGCATGGAATCAACGAACAAAACTGCTGAACATTTTATAATGGCGAAATCGGGAAACGTTGATTATACCTCTTGAAATGACTATAATATTACGATAAATGCCGAGGAAAACCCATGCATTTGAAACTGTAAGTCTTGGTTTCAAATTTTTCTTAAAATGTTGGAATTGTTGAAAAATAAAGCACCCCAAATAGTTTGGTAAGACTCAAGGTTAAAATATTCTTCTACTCGACAACAACCCTCAATTCAGTGACCGTAAAAGTAAAACATTATTCCAATGAACAAAGCTCAGCGGCTATATTCCATCCGACCATTTTATTGTCAGACGCTTGCCAGGATACCTTCACTCAACAAAGAAACAGCATGGTGAACAACAAATTCAAGTAACTTACTGTTTTGTATCCTCTCTCTTCCTATACGTTTCTGATTCATCACACGATTTCCTTGGAACTTGCGGCCTTAAATCTACCATTGAAATTTCTTCTCTCCATTGCATTCGTATTTCAACCATTCACGGTCTTCATGCTAGACGATCATTCTTCTTCTAAGCGCTAAACAAATTTCGTGATTTTCACTTTCGCATGCATTCGGTAAACAGAAACTTCGGAAAATACTAGAGCAAGGAAGTGAATATGTTTTTGTCTTCTTTTTCTCGTGATGGGTATTTGGGTTTTATAAAAACAATGTGACTTAATTTGTACCGTGCTTAATTTTCCATACGCTCACACAAACATAATGTTGTCGTCATCGATGTGATTACACGCTACATAACCATACAGCAGAACAGCTATTAAGACAGCTTTTATGTATAGAGGCATGTAAGGCTGCAACACAGAGCTCGCCAGCAGCTTATGTACATAGGGGAAACACAATATATTGATCCACTGACAAAACTTGTAGGTGCGGATCACTATTTTCCACAGCTTGAATCGGAATTTTTCGAATGCAATTTTCACACCTTAACAGAACTTTTCCACGGCTTTAAGCAACTTCAAACGAAAGCAGAACACTTTAGTTACACTTTGCGACAAGGATTGCCCAGTTTGGAATAGAATAAATAGCCATTTTTTGAAAAAATGTCGACGAAAGCGAACGACCATTACCTCTCTTTGTGTTTTCTGCGAACTGAATGAATGACAGATGTAATTTTCATTTTCATCAATAAATTGCAAAGCTCTCGCTGCTCCATGTACGGGTTTGGTGGGGCGCGAGCGAGCTTTTTCGCCCGTTCATACGCCCATCGTCTAACGCCTGCTAACGCCTGCCGTAACAAGATGTTGGTGAGTATATCCCATTGAAGATATTGAATTGTACAGTTGTAGCATAGCATTAACGGTCGATAATTGGCGTTTAGTAGGTTAATTTGATTCATACATTTTCGTGGATTGTTAATTGCTAATTAAGTAAATCTAAAAAGCTAACAGGAGTGACTGGAAATCCAAATCAAACGTTATCATTTATACCACTTATGCACCATCTGGTGTTGAAATTTACTCACCAACTCGAATCGGGCAATCCCAAGCAGTAGGTAGACGAAAAACAGATCCCCACCAGCAGAACGGGTCGATTGAGCTCGTCCGTTCACAACCTTGCCAGTTGCAAGAAGAGAGTCAATGTGAACAGATCACAGTAACGAGAGCGAGAGTGGAGAGATCGTGAGGCCTCCCTCGTCCAGTTCAGTAGGAAAAGATTGGAAAAGAGTCAGTGAGTGTCTAGGAGATCTAGTGAAAACCGTGAATTTGGAAATATTTTAGAAAGTTTGCTTGTTGTTGGTCTGGTAAACGATTTTTTAAATGCATCTCGAGGAGTCACGTCTAAGAAAAAGTCTTAACTCCATAAGTGTAGTTTTTAACATCTCAACATTAGAGGCGAAAAACAGTAATTCTAGAAGTTCTGATTGTGTTAAAATTGAATGTGATTGACGAAGAGGAGATAAAATAGTAATATCTACGTAATTTGATGTTCAAATTAAAACAAAATTGGAAAATCCAGTCAGAGCGAGTGCGATAGCCCGAAGCGCAAAAGGAAAACGCCATTCTGATCTTGTCGTTTCAGTGCATGTTTCTTTGCTCGCATTTTTTGAAAGGTAATTCCAAATTTTTTTTGCGTTTTCCCTTGAATTGAGCAATAGCTTTGAAAGCTATTCTAAAATTTGAAAACGGAGGCTACTTGTTTGTAGAAAATCGTTCAGCAGCGTGGACGCCATCTTGTTTCTTTTACGTCACCATATCGCTGCTAAATTCGAACACACCAGGGGGTTCGTGAAACAACGTAGATGGTTTAACATGGACGGTAGACTATCCCCTCCGAGCAAAACATGCCAGCAGCTCACGCACACCAACGTAGATTCGAACGTTTTTTTTTTTTCACTGTAGCCTTCAATCAAACCTCAATATACAAAACGAGTTTAACGTTGTTTTTTTATTCCTTTCGTCTTTCTAGAGCGCGACAACGGCCCCCTCACAAATACACACGCACTTGCTACGAGTTTTGAAAGTGTTTCCTACAGATTTTGCATCACGTAAATTTGTGCTGTGGAAACAGTGGACAAACCTGCGGAGAAGAACGCTTAGTGTAACCTATACTGTTGACGCACACAAGTCACGATCCCGCGCGGATTTGCACACATGTACATATATAGATGTGAGCAGTGTGTTGGCGAGAACAAAGAAACAGACCTTTAGCGTCAATATAACAGGGAAGACGATTGTGTTCTTGGATAGCTGCAGTGCTCAAGGGAGGTATTTACCGATTCCATACAATTTCTGTGATAGGGTTTCCTGCACCAGTGCAAAGGAAGCCTCTGTGGAAAGTATTTGTGAAAAGTTGAATATCCATCCCTGAAGTTGAAAGTGAAAGGTACCAGAAGAGACACTGTGACGAGAGATCTACTGGTGTTTGCTTGGAGCGAAAGAAAAATAAATACGTGAAACACTTCAAGGCGAACAACGAAGTTGAAGTGTTAATCAGTGAAGCCAAGTGGAACGAAAACCACGTATAAATTCGTGTATCTGCACTCGGTTATGTTGTGTATCCTGCATTTTCTTTTAGTATCGAGATATTTTTATAATAAAACAATATCAAAACGAGAAAAATTGCACTAAAAGGAAACAGTTATCATCAACTGAAGCAGTATAATTGAAGAATACAAAGTAAATATAGTTTATATTTAACAAATTAATGATAAAGTGTGATAATAGTTTTAAACAAGGATTCGTACCCGTAAACATTTGACTGATACGTCAGAGTGAGTGTTCAGAGCTGAGGAAAAACGGGAGAAAAGTGAAAGTCCAAGATGACGAACTCGCACAACCGGAATGGCAGAAACGGCAGTTATGCTGAACGGTACTTCAACAATCACAGTCCACAGCAGCTGAGTGGTGGTGGTGGTGGTAGCGGTGGTAAGCGAAACAATTCTGCTAACAGTACCGGAGGCAATGGAGGTCGGGGACAAAAGTCACCGAGCTCGACCTACTTCAGGAGTATTTCAACATCGAATGCTATACCGATAGTGCAACAGTCCACGTCGCCAGTCAGCAGTAAAGGTGGAAGCTACTACAGCTCCAGCTCGCCAAGTGGACGGCATCATAGCTTTAATGGTCAACGATCAAGTCCAGGTGGTGGTGGTGGTGGTGGTGGTGTTGGTGGCACAAATTTCAACAATTCGACCGGATCGTATCCCGGTACGCTTTCTGGTTCGCCACCAAATTTTTCCCATTTTGCTGGTAGCAAGTGCTACGACGCACCAGCACCCACCGCTTTACCAAAACCACCAGTTCACTGGACGTCTTCGTCGTCTACTTCATCCAATATCACGATATCATCAGCTTTAAACACTTCGAAATCATCCATCAACAAGCCAACCTCAGCATCCGTCGTCAATGCTAGAAATGCCTACAACAGTAAGGCTCCGTCGGCAGTTTCCTCAAATGCAATGTCATCGTCTAGGCTCAAGGTAAAATCTGCTGTGAAACCAGCAATGTCCTGTGCTGCGGCTGCGGCCAAAGCCAATCGTAGGGTTGATTTCACGCACAACCTCAAAATGGTACTCAATGTGCAAGCTTAAACGGAACGTGCATTCAATCTGCCGAACCATTGCGTTTTGTGCTGCCAAGATCACATCATCCGATCCCATCAAATATGCGTCGTCGTACCAAAATTCACCACATAAAAAGCTACAATGACTATTGCGTTGTATATGAAGGATAGATCTTTCTCAATCAATCAATCAGTCTCCATCAGAGTCAGCATATATTTTTGCTCTTTCAAATCATACCACCTATTAGAAGAAAATCAAACTTGTATACCAATCGCAAAAAAAAAACAAACTTCATACAGACCAACGATCGCAAGCAGTCACGAACCTGAATGGGACGACTACAGTGAGTGAAAACTTATGAACTAAACTCTGATTATCAAATCTAGTTTATGTATAACCTTTTTTAAATGTTTTATTTTTAATTTGAAGCGTGACATTTTCTGGTCAATTCATCGGCCATTGCAAATTAGTATCCTAAATTTATTATTTTTTGTAAGCCTCATTTTCCGGCATTGCTACGATTGCACTGAAGGGATCCGTAGTGGACAAACATATTCATTCCATTCCAAGCAAAAATAAGTATTTTTCAAGACTTTCATACAATCAAGCACTCGATTCGTCAATCAAAAAAAAAATCCAAATTTGAGTTTCATTTCATCACACTTTCTCGTATTGTAGTAAGAAGATCAGGATAGTGAGCAACGGTCCTAGCCCTGAGTCGACCGTCGCAATGCCACAAAATGTTGCAGGAAAATTGTTACTTTTGCATTATTCATATAGTCATTTTCATTGTTTTCAATTTAATATATATGTGTACGAAGCCTCACTGAGTATAAGGAAAATGGATTGAGGTTCGTTTCTTAAAGAGGCGATGACTAATTAAAATACAAACAGTTAGAATGTACGATATCTCAAAGACCAAAAACGCGCTGTCGAAGCTATCGAAGATTTATTTTTCAAAACAAAACTCCAGCTCATGTGCAATTTGAGAGGAACACGATACGTAGCCTATTGGTTTGCTGAAAACATTCAATTTGGATTATATTTTAAAACTTGGTGTGATGATGTTAGAAATTCACTATTCGGTTCCAGAAACCGAATGTTGAATTTGTCAAATCATCGCATATTTCACACTTCATTCCGCATTTGGCATGGAATCGTGCACAACACATTGACATAGAACACACACAAAATGCGAAAAACTTACAACCACTCTCTCTAATTGCACATTGTGATTGAGTTTTCATCGATAGGGCAACCATGCGTGAATTCGTAAACTGCGCAGTTTACTTTGAAGCAACGGAGAAAAGGATACACGGAGAAAAATAACAAATACAGTACAAAATCGAACTATTAAATGTATGTTTTACAATAATAACCAGCAAAGCAAATCAAACATTGACGGATAAAACAAACAAGAAAACAAAAAATACGTGTTAGAGAAACAACACACCAATATGAGACAGTTAGGCAAAGAGGGTAATCGACAAGAGTTGCAAGAAACGATGATTAGCGAAATCGAGAATTGGAGAGAATGAACAAGTGTGTGTGACAATATATAAACAAAACGAGAATCGAAAGACTTATCACTACTGATAACAAACAACTTCAAAACATTGGAAGCTTACGATGAGGGTTAGTCGAAAGTTCGTCGACGATGTTGACATACACGTGGACAAGCTTTCACGTTTACTCGGCCGAAGCTGGACTCCGATTTGCAGGAGAGATAGTTTGCCGGCAACACACATCAATGCGACATCGGGCCATCTCTCAGGGGGCGGAGTTTAAAAACTTTGCCAACAAAAGATGATTTTCTTCGGTTGAATCCTTATTTTCACACTGTTTACGTGCATTTAACAATTCCTACCTTAGTTGACCATTTTGGAGGAGTTAATCTCTTGTAAATAGCACAGTTTAAAAACCCGTAATATGGTAGAAGAGAGTGTGCCTTCTAGTAACTTTTACAAACGGAGAGTAGACGAAAAACCCTACATCAAGCGCAGATAATTAAGATTTGTGAATGACAAGACAACTCCGCCCTTGAATTTTTAAAAACAGGACATCACTACTTAGCTGGAGGTCATCAGCTATCAATGATAAGGAACACCAGTCGACTGGTGGCCACCAAATTGGTGATGGAAGGAATTTTATTTTCTTATTTTACTTTTACTGACAGCAATTTTTGGTGCATACAAATTCATTCTTGATCGCAACATTTCGAAATTGTCAGGAATTGATTCCAAATTGCAGCAAATCTAAAACAGAATAGTCTTTAGCCCCAGTGCAATAACGCCGATTCGGAATGAAATTGTATAAACTTGATACTCTCACTGTTATCAAAAACAAAGCACATTGTTCAGTTGATTGATCTTTCGTTTCCAATCCGATCAAAATAAGTACACACGTATTTCTATCACAGCGAGAGCTATTTTTGTGACAACATAACAAAAAGTTAATATTTGCAATCTAGATTTTACGTTTATCTATAAATTAGTATTTTCAATCAGATTTTTACTACACAGCTGCAAAAATTCGTTTGATCTCATATCTCTCCTAATTATTATTTTTTTTTTCTTATATTAAATTTCACCTATGATGCGTGTAGTATTGAAATCGTGAACAGCATGACAATATGCAACCGTATGTGTAGCCGGGCCTGCACTGCGAATGCAAGTGTAAAAGCCATTGACCGATATATACAGCTGCCTATTGTTGAACGCTGCTGACAAACAATCAATAAACACGTGCACTCGAGTGAAGCCGTAGAGAATTTATTTGGAGTACTTTTATTTTTGCTTAATTAGCTTAAAGTTTGGGTCACAAAAGCGTCAAAATTAATCTACCATAGCAAAATAATTGAGCAAAAGAAGTAAATATTGTATAGCAACTAAGCAGCGTAAAGAAATTCAAACATAATCACAGATATTACCAGACTTTGAACACGTAAACTACAGGATAGTAATTCTCACACACTTGCAGCAATGCTATTTCCCCCCTATTCATGCGACAAATGCAGAGAAGCCGACATACCAAATTTAGGTACATTTTCGATCCAGTAAATGGTTTGAAAAAGAGGAAAACTTATCGTTTTATTTCCGGCAAACATCTAATGTTGAGTGTTTATTCGTTAAAACAAAAAGAACAATAAGTAAATTATGCGGTACGAAGTATCGCAACCTTCAGTTTACAGGTATAAACCATCACTAAATGGGCTTATTTATTCAGGCAAGTTTGGTGCAAAAAATACGCTTTTAGTTACTTTCTATATTTTCTCCCAAATATTCCTGATTTAGGCAAAATGAAAACAAAAGACAACTCTGGTTTATTGGTACTATAACTTACTTTGCATTATGATTTTCTACCCTTCAAAACAACTGACAACAGTTGGAAAGTAGGACGATGCTCATTGCTTGTCCTCCTTCGAAAATCTTCCATGAACCTTTTGTCGACCTTCCGGATAAGAAAACTAAAACAGAAGGTTGTATTCTACCTGGTCAATGAGAACATCCATCTTAAATTTTACCTCAATTCTGAGTACTCGACAGTTGCGAGGATATCGCAAATTCAAAGCTAGGCCTAGCTGCACTCGGCACCAGTGATAAAACTTTGTTCTCATTCCTGTTTTAAAGTACTTCCAAAACCTGGCTCACACATTACATTTTAATTTGTATTCCTATAATTAACATAAAAAGCTATAAAAAATAAAAAAAATAACAAAAAACACTGCAACTTGCCTGAATAAATTAGTTTATTGCTCAATATTTCAAATTCTACGTAAAATATTTTAGAATCACACAAAAAAAAAAATATTGATCACACAATGAACTCTCGGATATGACCCAGCAACATGCAGAAATTCAGAAACACTCACACATTGTTCTGGAAGTATGCTATTTCCACACACGGAACACAAGAAGCAAAGAAGAAACGAAAATGGAAAAACATTAATCTGCGATATATGAAAACATACAGCCGATACTGCTAAAATATTTTTTCTCATTATTTTGAAATGAATTACACACTAAAAGTAAGCTGTACGATAACATGAAAAACAATGTAAAATGAAAAGGAGCGAAGAAGAAGAAGAAGAAGAAGAAGAAGAAGAAGAAGAATAAGGCAGACAAAGCAAAAGCAGCAGCAGGATACAAGCCGTGAGTGATGGCACCTACAGTTTGTGCTGTTCGTTTTTCAACTAGAATGTGGAAGTCATGTAAACTCACACGCACATACGAGATATCGCATTTCAATTATTTTTTTCTGTATATTACAGAAGCGTAGAATGGTCCCCTACAAAGGTGGAGAATTTAACCAAGGCAGAATTTAGTGGAAAAAGTGTGCTGCGCGTGAGTGTTGCTTTGCTTTAATGGGTAAAGACTAATAGGCAAATGGAAAGGCAAACACGCATGAAAAATGAGATTGTAATGATAAACGAAGGAGGAAATCTTTTAGAATCATAAGCGTAATAAATATTAGATTATAAACTATAGAAACGAGACAAAAAGGTAGAAATGTTCGTAATTGTTCTGTGATCCCTATTCATTTAATGTTACTGCTTTTTTCGAGAGGCATACATGTAATGAGGAGGAATTTTTTTAATTGTTGGATGGATTCACAAAAAAAAGGAAGAAGAATCGCTAGTACTGGTAAAAAGCAGTAACGATTAAACTTGTGCTTGGTGAATTTTTAAATTAACCAACCACTTCAACGATTATTCTGTACTAGACTTTTGTAAACGAACAAATAAGTAAAATTGAACCAATTCCTTACAAGAAGACACAAAATCGCCATGTACTGTATCAACAATCATAAATTACTGTAGTCCTGATATATCTCAAAGCTTCCTATAAAATGTCCCATTTGGAATACGATTTCAAACTCATCGAAAAAATTGTAACGCTTGTAAGAAAACAATACCTAACAAGTTTGTAATTCCTTCAGAATCTAATTTTCAATTGCTGGTAAATTTTTCAATTGGTCTAAAATAGTCAGGTGCAGTTAATTTGTTTTATCAAGTTGTAACAAAACAAATATTGTGATCCCTTATTTTTTTGTAAAGAAAAAAAAATCATGCCACGAATGGAAAAAAAAAACTATTCCATTCAACGAAAAGATCAGAGTAGAAAAAAAGCAACTCTACTCTGCAAAAAAACAAACAAAGAAAAAATATACAACAAACCCCCAAACAACCACCTCAATCCCACAAATGTGCCTTGGCACGAATCCTTTCCAATTAAAAGCAATAAAACACCCCTTCCCAAGTCCACTTTTCCCTTTCCCATAAATCCTCCACGGCCTCCACGTGACTCCCCCTTCCTAA